CATTCTTCATGGACTGTCCCACAAGGTATAATCATCTTGATATGGTATGAGGATTCTACATCCCCATTTTCTAAATGAGATGATAATTTCTCAGGTCGGACTCAGTTTGTTCCTAGGGATTATGACGTGGATACTCCATCTCCTTTTAGGAAGTCAGATGTCATAAGCATGGTCCCTGTATACAAGGTAAACAAACCACTGAGTGAAATTTAAAACTGGCAGTGAATTGTCTTACAATTATGATTTGCTTTGGACTTTGGTGACATTGTTTCTTCATTGCAGCATGTTGCATGTTCATCAGCAGATGGATGTACGCTATTGGAATCATCTAAGACTTCCCTGGATAAAGGTAAACTGGAGGATGCAGTCAGTTATGGCACTAAGGTATGAGAAAGAATCACTGTATATGCTGTTGTAAATGGTTTTATTCTTCAGTAATATAAGTGACATCTGAATCACTATTTTTACTTTAATTTTGAGGGCACTTTCAAAACTTGTGTCAGTCTGTGGTCCTTGCCATCGGATGACTGCTGGAGCATACAGTCTTCTGGCTGTTGTGCTTTACCATACTGGAGACTTCAGTCAGGTATTTGCTTTAAATTATGTGAACATTTCTATGCATGCATTACGTGAACAAATTTATTGCATTATTACTTCCTAAATGACTCAGAATTTTGAACCCTATTGAAACCTATGGATGAAAAGATATAAAACAAAATAAAGTAAAAATCATCTTTTAATTTTTGGGATTTTTTGTCTCTTTGGTACCTTTGGTGTTTTCTTTTTTAAATTTACTTTATTTGTTTTTTTAAGTATTGAATCAAGGATTTGTGAATGCTAGCACATGCTTCTGTGTCATCTCTATCCAGCATTAATAATTCTTTCAGTGTTTTGCAATATACTGATCCGTTGTTAATTATTTAGGCAACCATTTATCAGCAGAAAGCGTTGGATATAAATGAAAGAGAGCTTGGGCTTGATCATCTAGATACGATGAAAAGTTATGGAGACCTAGCTGTCTTCTATTATCGCCTTCAACATACAGAATTAGCCTTGAAGTATGCTTTTATATCTTTCTAATAAAATAAATTGTTTGGTTTAGCTCCCTTTGTTTATACCTTTGAGATTTAAAATTAGTCCTACCTTAGTGGAAAGAGAAAGGAACTTTTCCTGGTGAGATAATCCACTTTGTGATTTCTATGCCAAAAGAATGCATGCTATTGATCAAGAGGTGTAAAACCATGAGTTACGCTTATGCACTTACTGTAAAGAAAATACACATCCATATGGTATCTCAATACTGCAGAATTTTTTCCATATACTTCTCCACATGATAGGTTGTTTTTAGGTTATGACTATGTTAAAAGCTGATAGCTGTTTTTCCTTTTCTGTTTAGTGCTTTGGAATTCTTATAATGGTAAAATGTTCAAACTTACAACTTGGTCAATAGCATCAAGAATTTCTGCTTTGAGTAAGATAATTGTTATCAACTGCAATCTGATCGCACTGGCCATGCTCAATTGTTAACTAGGTGATTTTTTAGTATAACCTCGGCATGAAGCATTTGGACCATGATATGTTTTATCAAATTTTATATCCCACTAAAAAGTGAAATGTAATTGGGCTTAGACTCTCTCAGAACATTATCTTTGTCCTGAAGAGTTTAGGTGTTAATGTAATGAAGTTCATAAATATCAATTTTTATATAACTGCAAACTTCATAAATGTCAATGTTTATGGTGATCATAGAACTTATACCTCATAAAAATAAAATAAGAGGATTAGCCTTTCCAGTGATGGTATTTGTGTCCGAAGGAGTGTTGTTGGTAGAGATTAGTAGGAAAACTTGACTTTGATTAGCCAAAAACTTAAACTTGATGCTGTACGCATGGGCAGTGAAACATGGTTCTTGAGAAGCAAAAGTTTTATTATTTTGTAGGATGACTTTCATTCTTAAGAAACATGATTGAATGAATACTGTGTTAGAGTTCATGCTTAATCTTGTGTTTTGCTCACTCTAGGTACATTAATCGTGCATTGTATCTTTTGCATTTAACCTGTGGGCCATCTCATCCAAATATGGCAGCCACCTATATTAATGTAGCAATGATGGAAGAAGGATTGGGAAATGTTCATGTTGCTCTTAGATATCTCCATGAGGCTCTCAAATGCAACCAAAGACTACTTGGAGCTGATCGCATACAGGTAAACAATCTTATTAACAACTGGGTAAAGTAATCTCTGTTCATCATTTAATTAGATGTACTAATCAGTTGCTAAGACTGAATGATTATTGTATTCACTGAAGGAACTGAAATCTAAAATTCGATTTTTATGATGAATTTGAGCTCCTTTCTATTAATTGACCACAAAAAATCTCAATCTAAATTCAACTCAAAGTATACTTGGAAATGCTAAGGTTCATGTTTAATGTATTTCTGGCTTCTACAGACTGCTGCCAGTTACCATGCCATTGCTATTGCTCTCTCTCTGATGGAAGCTTACTCAGTGTTCAGCATGAACAAACTACACTACAAATATTGCAGGCAAAACTAGGGTCTGAGGACCTACGTACACAGGTGGTTTGATGTGTTTGTTATTTTTATGATTAAATCTCATTGTATTAGTGATTATTGGTCCTCAGTTCTATGTACTACGTCTTTTGTAGGATGCAGATGCGTGGCTTGAGTACTTTGAGTCTAAGGCTCTAGAGCAGCAAGAAGCTGCTCGTAATGGTACTCCAAAGCCTGATGCCTCCATCTCCAGCAAAGGCCATTTAAGGTATAATCTACAAGCAGAATATATACAGTTGAATATCATCTTTGTTGTTCAATAGATACTTTATCATTCGTTGTCCAATTCAAGGCAATTCAAAATTTTGAACTATACACTCAAAAGTTTGCCTAATCTTTAGTTGTCACTAACCTTTTGGGAATGAATGAACTTCCTGAGATAATATGATTTATTCCCAAGGCTATATTTGAGATAAATTTAATTGTGAAGTCACCCTGTTCTACCCGCCTTTTCTCTTCTCTTTTAGTGTGAGGTGTTGGTAAGAATTATTTACAATAGTTTCCCATTTTGCATCAGCGCATCAGACCTTTTGGATTATATAACCCCAGACGCAGATATGAAAGCAAGAGATGCCCAAATGAAAGCCCGCGCAAAGGTTAGTCACCTAACTAATCCCTAGCTGTCCTTTTGGTTGCTTATCATCTTCATTGACAACATATCTAAGCTGAATTTTTGCCTTCAACAAGCAGATTAATGGCAAAGCTAGCCAAAACTGGGAGACGGTCTCAGATGAATATCAGAATGATGGGATTTCATCACCAACATATCCTGTTATGGAGAATTCAAGTGATAAAGAAAACAAATCTGAAGCTCAATTCATGGAATCCGCAAATGAAAAACCTGATTCACATATACCAGATCAGCCAATGGTGATTAAAAATGTTGGCCAAGAACAGGATGACACCACAGATGAAGGATGGACTGTACCTAGAGGTCGTTCACCTGCAACTCGTAAATCTTCTGCTTCAAGGAGGCCAAGTCTAGCCAAACTGAATACAAACTTTATGAATGTGTCCCAATCCTCAAGATATCATGGAAAGCCCAATAATTTCACATCTGCGAGAACAAACCTCAAGGAGCCTACTGCTTCAGCCAAACATAGTCCCCCTGCTTCAAAAAAGTTCATTAAAAGTTCAAGCTTTAGTCCAAAGCTAAGTAACCGAAAAAGCACAGCTGGTGCAGTGGAGAAACAGGTAAACCAAAATCAGCCCCAGCTAGCCCAACTTCAACTGATCAAGTTGCCAAGCCTACTCCAGTAGCAACTCCAATCAGTGCGCAAGCAGCTGGAAAACTATTCTCCTACAAGGAAGTTGCTTGGGACCCACGTGGGACAATTGTATGTGTTCAAGTGAGCCTAATCCATAACAAATAATAAAGATTTAAGTGGAGCTGTTTTGAAATATTTTCAAAATATGAAAATAATATAATTAAGTAAAAACTTAATCAAAAGAGAAATCTATTAAGTTACTTAATAGCTTAAGATAACGTTTTAGGTCAATAGGATTGATTCCAATCGATTGTCATGTTCTTGTCTAAGGAGCAGTTGACCGATTATATTAAAGAAGTCGACTCTTATACATTTAAAAAAGATACCAAGGTCTCGATACAAAACTTAACAAAGGAATAGTCAATTAGGCTAAACAACCGACTGCTATGGCTGGAATAAACTGTTCTAACGATTGTTTTAAGTTACGAGTATTTTGGAATTGAAAGAAGTTGATTGCCCTAAGATCCCAGTCAACTGTCTTGCTTTGTGGAACGTTCTAAAAATAAAAAATACAGAAAGGAAGTGGACTGTCTTCTAAGAATAGTCGATTGTTTTAGTTGAAAATTTATTATTTTCTTAAACGTAAAATATGATTTTTATTAGAATAAAAAGAGTAATCATGCAAATGAATTAATATAACTTTAATGATTAACAAATATATTTTTATGATTAAAAGAAGTGATCTTTGATTGAAATAACACGACTAATATATGTTTGGTGATAAGATTATGATAAGATAAAATTAGATGATATTACGATTAGCATTAGATTAAATGATATTATATTATCTTGTGTTTGATATATATAAAGATTAGAATAAGATAATTTATTTATTGATTAAAATTTATACAATTTAAATTATTGATATAATTTTTATGTAAATTTAATCTCACAAATTAAAAATATTTTTTTTCACTTTGGGAGAATTTAATTATCTTATACCAAGAGGATGATAATCATCTTTACAATCTTATCCATTTTTTATATATAAACTAAACATAATATAGAATGAATATCATCTTATTTATCATCATATGCATCAAATATAACTTTAAAAAAATAACTTTAAGATTAAATCTCTATGAATAAAAATTATGAATGTTAGTTCAAGATATATTAAAACTCGTAAAACTCTCTTTTTCTCCCATTCATTCAAAATGATGGCTTGTTTCTTAGCATTGTTTTGTAGCAAGAAACCTTGTCAAAACAAGATATTTTCATCTCGCAAAGGAAATTTTGGTAGTCTGATTTTTCTAGAGTAAGGTAAATCAAATATATGATTTATTGTATCTCGGAGGCAATACCACATTTCCCTTTTGCATATACAAAATAAGTCTTGAGAAAAGTGGCATTGTCGTATTCCTTGAAGCCATTTCATTTGTTCTTTGAAAACTTCATCTTAGGTTCAACCAAGATTTAGAAAGGAAGACTATATCCGAAGATGCTAAGTGAAAATTTGTCAGCAACTACAAGTTCTTGAAGATGCAAGTCTTGAAACTAACAAAATCTAGGGGGGAAATCAGTATGATGAACGATCAAATATATTTATGAATTTCACCAATTCAACAACGTGAACTTCGCTCACTTTCGGAAGAAAATGATGTTCTTGGAAGTGATACAACTTAGGCACAACAATAGGAGAAACAACAAAGAAATTTCCCTTATTACTAACATTGTTGTCCACCTAAGTGTAGAATCCCTGCTACACGCAGGTTGCTGATTCCTGGCGAAAATCCATAATCACTAGTGTGGCAACAGTATGAGCAAGTGATGCGAGAACAACAATTACATGAAAAATCTGATGGCTGTGCCCGGCAATATCAAATGCACCAGGGTTCCACCTCTCTGGTATTCTGCTAGCATAAACTACAGCTCCTGCAATACAAAGAAAGACCGTAGCAAGATCATATCCAAGGGATAGAAATATATGCGGATGGCCCCAGTGCAGGGCGACTGCATGTGCTGCTGCGATCACCCCTGAGACACCCATTGTAAGGAACAAGCCAGCTCGAAAGTGTCGGAAGTGGGGTGCTGAGAGAGCAGGTACCAGCATAATGATGATGGCAAGGATTCCAAGCACTGTTATGGATGTGAGATAAAAGAGCTGTGAATATGGGTGGCAGAAGAAGGAATAATAGATGGTGACAAAGCAGGAGCAGACTATCATTAGGGAGATGCCGGCATAGTCTATGCACCAGAAGACGACGTTAAAGCGTTTGGAGTGGCAAGCAAAGAGGTGTGCGACGGAGCTGCAAACCATGCATCCCATAGCACCTGACAAATAAAAAAACCAGGGCCATTTTGGAATAGAGTTATAGCCTTCTTTCTGCAAGTCATGTAGAGATGGCTGAGGAATGTGCCCGAAGTGCGAATCCTACAAGTAACCATCAAAATCATAAGCATGAAATGGCACAGCAGGGTGAAGAAAATATTAAAATTTCAGTATTTAATGCAAAATTTTATCTGTTCACAGAAATATCACATCTTTTTGGACTGTCATTGAAATGGTTGAAGACATAACAAATTTACCAAGGCATGATGGTTCAAACAAATTCGCCCAGGTTATTTGGTGTATCAAGCGTGCAATATTAAGACACAAATGGAACCATGGAAGAATCCATCAATTGACCAGTGAGTACCAAAGGCCCAGCAGCACTTAACCATCTAGCCAAAATGCTTCAAGCCCTTTTGAGCTCGTGACTTACAAAATATTGACAAGAGAAAATTCAAAAGAGAAGGTTATGAATTCAAGAGTCAGGCATCAAAATCATCCTTCTTCAACCCGTCTACAAAAAGTTCCTTTATTCTCTTCCTTGTATGGTTAATGGTTTCTAGTACAAGATAGTTCTTTTGCAGTATGATATTACCAAGATTGTCAATAGATAACTAAATCAAAGCAAATAAGCGACCAAGAGGTATTCATCATTCTTCAAAGTTCAAAGATTCTCCATTTTTTTTTTCTTTTTGGTTGAAAATTAGGATCATTTCATTCTAGTAAATCAGAGATACACAAGAAGCCAATGACGGTACTTTTTTAAACTTGTGGGTGCATTAGAAAGATCTAATTCCCTGCTATATTACCAGACATGCCCATTTAACTATGTTAAGGTGTTTTTTATATATAAAATTATGATAAAATAAAATAAATTATTATTATAAATAAGATTAAATTAAATAATATTATTTTATCTTAAATTTAATATGTACAATGATTAAGATAGGATAGGTTTATTTATGAGTTAAAATTATCTTTTTTTAAGATTTATATAATTTAAATCATTGATATAATTTTTAAATATATAATAAAATATATAAGTTCAATTCATAGATTGAAAATAATCTTCTCTATTTTGGGATTATTGAATTATCCTATGCTAAAAAAATAATTAATAATCTTTGCAATCCTATTATTTTTTTATCTACAAACCAAATATAAATAAAATAATTATCATCTTATTCCATCAATTATCTTATGCACTAAACATTGCCTAAGAGCAACATAATTTTTGTTCGAACTTTGCTACAAGCTTACTTTACAAAAATCCCAAACCAACTTAGACCCAAATTGCAGCCTGTTCCCATCAGGCATCGTGAAACAATTCATATCAACTATATATGGATGATAATGCCAACAACTTTGTGTTTTGTTGGTAAAATATTAAATATTAAATTTTTAATTTCAGTAATCAAAGTTTAATTTTTGATAATCTAAGTATAAAATATATATGAATGATAAAATAATTTCGGTGAATAATAAAAATCCCATCATAGCATGACATAGTTACAAACTTCCTCAAGACTTTTTTTTTTTTTTTCATGATACCTAAAGAATAATAAAAATGTGATAAATTTTATATAACCTTTATAAAAATGTTGTAATTATTAATTAATCTCTAGTTCGTCATGATAACCAAATTAAGTTATGGACTCTTGATTTTTCGTCAAAAAATCGTGTTTGAAACATAGATGGAAGACAAAGATAAATATCGAGACCCGAAACCTTAAATATAAAAGAAAAAAAAAATTGAATGTAATCAGGACGCGTTTCTATATAAATAATAATAATAATAATAATAAGGTACTAATAACTAGTAAGGCATTCTTCGATCACGTTTGCTTTATTTAGGATTAGGATGATTAATAAATAATTACCGCTCGTGAATGCAGATGTTAAATGTTATGAAAAAAAATTATATACACATAATATATCTACATAAATTACATACATGTGCATAAAAATAAATAAATATATATAATTTTTTTTAAAAAAAATCATCATTAGCATGCAATAATTTTTCATGAAATTGTTAAATTTAAGATTATTGGGCATTATATTTAAGACTAAGAAATTAAAGTTGATTTAGTGAACAATTAAAAAAAATTGCATTTAAGTAGTAATATTTAACATTTGTCATTTTCAGACACTACCCAGGGTCTTAAATGTTACTTACAACTACTACCCTTTCATGTCTCTCTCTAAACTCATAACAAACTAGTTTAAATGCATGATGTGGATTTTTTTTTTTTTTGTCTTTTATTGTAATAAATAAGTGATGGTCAAGCTAACAACTTTCAAAATTTTCACATTTTTAAGTATAAAAAAAAAATAAGTGACAGACAATAATTAACCAATGTAGTTGGTCAGTGGCATGATCACCCTGTATTAAGAAATATAAATGATCGAGTTTTAATCAATATCATATTAAATTTGAGTTAGAACTTAATTTTAAATTTGATGTTCAAAAATTAGTTCGAACTCGATTTAATTTTATTTTTTTAGCATAAATTTTACTCGAAATAAAAATTAAACTACTCGAACTCGCTCGATTAGATTTGATTAATATTTAAAAATAAGCTCGATTCTTATATTTGATAAAAATTCGATTATTTGTATTCAATCTTCAATTCGAGTTCAAGATATTTTATCAATTAAAATATATTAAAATATAAAAGTTTGATTAAACTCGTAAACAAATCAAACCGGATATAAGAATACTCAAATTCGACTCGATCGATAAGTTAAATTACTCGAACTCGACTCGATAATAATAGAGTCAAATTCGAATTTTATTCGAATCAAATCCGAATAACTTACAAATATTAATATATCATTTGAATGGGTTCAATTGACCCCACCCAATTTTTGCAATTTAATAATCTATATGATTAATATATATAAATTTTTTATTTTAACCTAACTAAAATTTGTTAAGAAAATGATAAAAAAATTCCATCTTTACTTTTACATTCTATTCAACATGAGAATTTTAATAATTTTTTAATTTTTGAGTTTAAAAATTTTTAGCTTATATTTTGTTGATATTTTATTAATCACATTTTTAGCCTTATTGTTAATTATGAATTGTTACGTATTTTTATTGAAATTTCCTTTTTTCACTTTATTGTCATCATACTAAGTAACTATAATTTTTTTCATAAACTATTTTTATAATATATATTATATATGAGTTTGATCCAATTTATAAGTGATTGATATGTTGTACTTTATTTTATAAGTAGTTAGTTATTTGATAGTACAAATATAATCTCATTAAAGGAGAAAAAGCAATCTGTGTCATCTATATACTTGCACTGTTTTCTAAGATTTTAAATGACATGAAAGAAAAATTAAAAAAAAATAAAGAAGTAACACAGCTAATAAACTACTGAGACAAATTTTCATTATAAATAAATTTTAAAAAATATTGTTTATTTAAAAGTTGTATCATATTGTATGATTTTTTTAATTTAGTCAATATTGTATGATATTTTGGACCAGTTGAAAAAAAAAAAAAGTTTTAGACAAAACCTAAAATTCTCGTAATTAAATAAAAAATAATAATGTTATCAATATTGATATTAGGGATATAATCTGATACAGTACTAAACTCGAGTTTGAATTCGACTCCAAATTCAATGCTTGAAATTCGGTTCGAATTCGATCGAGTTTTATTTTTTTAGTTCAAATTCAATTCGAAATAGAAATCGAACTATTAAAGTTCGTTTGATTAGACTCGATTAACATGTAAAAAAAAAAATTTGATTATTTATGTTTGAACTATAACTTCAACTCGAGTTTGAAATTTTTATTAATTAAAATAATCAAAATATAAAAATTTAATTAGGTTCACAAATAATTTGAACTGAATATAAAAATACTCAAACTTAACTAGATTGATAAATCAAGTTACTCAAGTTCGATTCGATAATAATCGAATCGAATTCAAATTTTATTCGAATTAAATCTATATAATTTGTAAATATTAATATATTATTTACATTTTTAATTGATATCACTAACGCGAGGAAAATGTGAGTAAACATCAGCAGCATTATAAAAAGACCATCGCCACAATTTGCAAGCTCAGCATCTAAACGAGCACGTTTACCCCAGTTTTGCATCCTTAGGAGAATCATTGAATCCCAAACAAACACAGTCACAAGAGAACATGATTTTAAATCTTATATTTGTCTCATATTATGTTGCTAATATAATAAACTCACACGTAACCTTTTAATAAATGTGAACAACTTTCGATAATGATTTTTGTTACTAAAATAATATAATATAATAACAAGTTTTTGTTTAATACATAATACTTTTCATAAATAAATCTATCATACCGTTAATATATTATTATATTTAAAATTTATTATCATAAGATTAATTTAAAAATACTCAAATTAAACATATAGACCCTGTGCATGGCAGGGGGATTTCATATTATATATGTACAGATATGCATAGTAATTCGTGAGGTGTTGAAACTCTCGTGTCTTGAAGCAATCAAATTATATTTTGGAATGCCATGAATTGCTAATTTACGTTTCTCAATACTTTGTCAAAGTATGCTGTGGGAATTTATATACATTTGTTAAAAGTTAAATTATATTTTGGCGTTAAATTGAAAAGGTGTTAAATTTTTAATTTTCATAATAAATTATTAAATTTTTATAATCTCAAATATTAAAAGAAATAATTATATTTTTTAAAAATATTTTATTAAATTTAAATATATTTTATAACAATTAAAATAATAAAATAATTTATATTCGATATGCTAATTCAATAAAAATTAAATTTTTTAAATCGTATTGAATGAAAAGTAAACAATTTTTTTAAAAAAATTCAAGTAAGATTGGAGATAAATGATTTGTTTTAATGTATTTTTAATTTTTAATTTATATATAATATAATATTAATAAAATTATTATTTAATATATTTGTTTTAAAAATTACTATAATAAAATATTATATATAATTAAAAATAATATTTTTATAAATATTATATTAGTTAAAATTATTAAATAAATTTCAAATAGATTTGAATCACATGCGAGTTATATTATGTTGTGTCAGGATGAAAGAGAGAAAAAAATTAAAAAATCATATCGAAAGGCGAACGTAAACCCCTTATGCGACACGTTACGCTCTCTAATTAAAATGTGTCTGTAAATATCTTGGATAATATTTTTCAAAGTTAAAATATTATCATGGATATAATAAAATAAAACATAAAAAAAAATCACATGGTGTGGCTCCCACTAGGAATTCAGAACCAAGATATGATGTGGAATCGTGTAACCCACCTACCTAACCATATATCAAACAAAAACTGCCGTGTCACGTGACGTCCCCACAATTTATTTCAGTTCATTTTCTTTCCTTTCTTTATCACATTCCAAAAAAGAGGAAAAAAAAAATACCATTTTAAGAAATTTTAAAATTAATGATAGGAAAAAAAAATGAACTTACAGGAAAGATACGATCGGATGCGTTAACATCATTCTTCATCATCATCATCTTCAATGGTCCCAATATTTGAGCTCTGAAAGCAAGAACTGTTAGACTTGAAACCCAGAAAAAAACTCAAAATGACAAGCTGGTCCTTACCTGGAAAAGCCGCTGATCCAAGCTCCACATCCCAACTCCTCCATGGAACTCATCACCGTTAATCCAAAGAATATTAAAAACCCTCCCAAATGCCTAAAAAAATAAATATATAATAAAAAAAGAGACAGAGAAAGAAATATTGTGAAATTACGATCGAGACACTTACGTCCAGATATTTAGCGTTTCGTTGTGCCATGACAACACGCTTAAGAAAATGTCCTTCACTGACCATTCGCATCGGTAATGATCCAAAATGAACTCGTTGTCTTTCAAATAATTCGGTAACTCTTCGTACTTCACCAATTTCCTCTTAAACCTCTGCTTCTTCTTCTTATCTTCTTCAGCTGAGTCAACTCGCTCGAGTTTGTTATCATCATTCTTCGCCGTGGCAACTTTTCGGTAACGATGATTTTGCATCCTTGAAAGTTACTCCCAATCGCCTCGCCGGTAAAGCGTCCACGAAACTTTTGCCGACGGTAATTTAAAATATCTTTCCTTTCTGGGAAGATGCTTTTAAGCCTCTCTGCTACAGCTCTGTTTACTTGCACATATATAGTCAAAATAATTGTTTTTTATTAAAAAAAGATTTGGAAACTCGAATCACATACAAGACAAGAGCACTTTACTTTGGTATTAAATGAAATAAACTTTTTTTGTCTCCTCTTTCGACTATCGTCGCAAATGTTGACAAATGTAAATTGGATTCATCGATTTCATCGCCACTTTTTTTTGGAGTTATTTTTGTTGTTATTTTTACTTTTATTAAGCTGGTAGTCTAAAAAATGAGTTTTTTGGTTTTTATTTAATATATTAGTAAAATTGTAATATAAATAGAGAAATGATTCATTTATATTAGTGTAAAATTAAATAATTTTATATTTTTAAAATTTTAAATTAAAATTAAATTTATAATAATTTTTATCAAAATAATATTTTTAAAGATTAATGTCACGAATGATCCATAAATTATAACTAAATATTCAATATGTTGGTAATTTATAATGCAATGCATGAATGCATCCCATCACTATAAGGGATTAGGCTTTCAATGATTTTTTTTTTTTTTCACATTTAGGAGCATTTATAAATATCATTAAAGAATTAACGTAAGAGTGCTGTCTATTATTACGTCGAGAAAAATAGTGACATTTTTAGAAAAACGTAGCTAACTTGGTGATATTTTTATCATAAAATATTGTTAAATTTAAAGGCATTTATAATAGAAAATGTCATTAAATTTAACAGCGTTTATAGTAGAGAACGTCGTTAAAATTTGGCATTGAAAGGCGTTTTTAAGTACAAACATTGTTAAATTAAAAAATTTATTTTTTTCAAATTTTTCTTTTAATATTGATTAGTATCATTAAATAAAAAATATTAAAAGAAATAAAAATGAACTTAATTCATAAACTAAATATTATAAATACATAATTTATTCAAATATTGATGGAACACAAAGTTTAATATATGCAATAACATTCAAATCATTTTAGTACACTAACCAAAAATTTAAAAATGTATGAAATAATGACTGTATAGATTTGAAACACTACTATTTGATGAAAGATTTTTCCACCTTAGTTACTACCATCTTCTGTTGTTAGTGATTTTCATACACAATGAATCATTTCAAGCAAGATTAATTAATTTCATTAAACACCATGATATGAAAAAACAAACAAAACAAATGCCAAGATGAGATGAAAAAAAACATAATAGACTATTTCATAATGGTTTCCTAAGGATATCTTGAATGAATCAATAAATTCATATTAACAAGTAACCATTTTTAGTAATTTAAAAAAATTATGTTAAAAAAAACTAAACATAAAATTTTATTTGTGTTTATAACTAAATTCAACGTTCAATTTATGTTTTATCTTGAATTTTTCTCACCAACCAAATAAAATTAAACTCAGAATTATAATAACAAAATAAATTGATAAATAAAGAAAAAGAACAGCCAAACACTAAAAATTGCTAATATTGAAATGGAGCTTGAATGGCGACAGAAATGCAACAAATCAGATAGAAAGTTTAGGGATTTGACCTAACAAATCAAACAAAAAGTTTAGGGATTTGATCCAAAATGCAAGAAAGCTAACTTGAAATTTGCAAAAACAAAAAGAAAGAAAATGAAAATTGACCATAAAATAATTGAAACTTAGGTAGAAAATAGAAGAAAGTGACCCAAAATAAGTAGAAATAGAAGAAATGAGTAGGGAAAAGAAAAGAAAAAAGGGGGTTTCGTGAGTTTAAAATTTAAGAAAAATTTAATGGTGGGAAAGTGTGATTATTGAAAGTATTTTTGGCTAAAAATATCTTCAATAATCCCCTCTATTTTTTTTTAGATTATTTAAGCGTTTTGACAAAAAATACATTCAATAATCTCTTCCAATTTTTTTTGGAGATTATTCAAGACGTTTTTTACAAAAAAATAACTTGAATAATCCCTTACAAAAAATTGAATAGCGTTATTCAAGGCATTTCTAGCAAAAAATGCCTTCAATAATCTCATTCCATTTTTTTTTAGATTATTCAAGGCATTTTCGGCCAAAAAATAACTTGAATAATCCCTTACAAAAAATTGAATGAGGTTATTCAAGGCATTTCTAGCTAAAAATGTCTCGAATAATCCTCTCCATTTTTTTAAAAATTATTCAAGGTATTTTCTATAAAAAAACATATTCAATAATCTCTTTCCTTTTTTAGGGGATTATTCAAGGCGTTTTTGGTTAGAAAATACCTTGAATATTTTTTTACCAAAAATTGAATGGGGTTATTCAAGGTGTTTCTAGCAAAAAATACCTTGAATAATCTCCTTCGATTTTTTTTTTATTATTAAAGGTATTTTTCGTTAAAAACACCTTCAATAATCTCTTCCATTTTTTTTAGAGATTATTCAATGTGTTTCTAACTAAAAACACATTAAATAATCCCTTTCCATTTTTTTGATTATTGAAGGCATTTTTTTTGTAAAAAATGCCTTAAATAATCTCCTTATAAAAAATAGAGACGATTATTTAAGGCATTTTCTGTTAAAAATACCTTCAATAATTCTCCTAAAAATTTAAAAAGGATTGTTGAAGTCGTTTTTGGTCAAAAAACGCCTTCAATAAATCTCCTTAACAATAAATCTACTAAAATATAGTAGTGTTATTGGTTAAAGTATACAGTTGTTAACCACAAGGTCATAGGTTTAATATCTCATTTTAGCATTTTTTGGGATTTTCAAGGGATTACTCAATGCGTTTTTTACTAAAAACGCCTTGAATAACCCCATTCAAAATACTGAAGAAAATGATATAACCTACGATCTTATGGTTAACAACTGTATACTCTAATCGATAATGATACTTTATTTTTAGCAGATTTATTGAAAGTGTTTTTTATCAAAAATACCTTCAATAATCATTTTCAATTTTTAAGAGAATTATTGAAGACGTTTATGGTAGAAAATGCATTCAATAATCGCCTCCATTTTTTATGAAGGGATTATTCAAGGTGTTGTCTGTAAAAAATACCTTCAATAATCCCTATTCATTTTTTATGAGATGATTGTTCAATATATTTTTTACAAAAAACGCTTTTAATAATCACTCCAATTTTTTAGAGAGGATTATTCAAGGCGTTTTAATCTATAAACGCTGCTAATTTTTATCTTTAGTGATATTTATAACTACAAATACCGCTATTTGAATATTTAATGACGTTTTGATAAAAAACACCTTAAGTCTTATAAAAACACAGAAGCTAGTAGCGTTTTTAAGTAAAATGCCTTTACAAAACTACCACCGATCTTTCATTTTTGGTAATGCATGTTAAATATAAAGACTTAATTATTGATAAATAAATTAATTTTTATATTAATTTTATTCATATTCTAAATAATAATATTTGAATAAAAATAATTATTTTATAACAAATAATCATGTATATTTAAATATAAATAAAATATTATTCATATAAGTTATGATTGTACAAATGATAAAAAATATTTGAATAAAAATTTTTATTTCATTTATTATAAATAAATATTTCAGTATAATCACTTTTACTATTTTTTATTGAAAAGTTTAAGACTTTATTATATTCTAAATGCATAATTGTTTTTAAAAAGTGTTATACATATGTTAAATCTAAAATTATTTTTTATTATTTATATTATCTTATTTATTTTTTCTAGCCATTTAAAAGTAATTATTTGAAATTCATATTTCGTATGAAAAAATGTATTAAAAATTTTTGACAAAATTGACTTTTGAAACATGTATGTAAAGTCTTAAATATTCAAATAATTTATTGGTAAAATAATTATTAAAGATCAAGTCGGTTTCTTGTTTCTATCTTTATAGTCTTAAATTTTATTAAAAGAATTGATGTTAATAATTTATAAGAGACTTTGAGTCTTATTGAATTTTTTTCTTGATTATTTTTTTAATTTTTATTTTAAATTAAATTAATTAATTATGAGATTCATGATTTTATGATATATCCTATATGGATTTTCTTGATTGTAGTATTTAATGGTCACAAGCCTAAAAATGACATGAAATACTTGCTAACTTTAGTTATAGTCTTGTTATATTTTGGTAAATCCATAATTATTAAATCAAAATGAAATTCTTAAGAATTATTTAAGGTATAAAAGAATTTATGACTTTATATATATATTTTTAAAAAGCAAGTACATATGCTGTTGTCATAAAAATCATCTTTTAATGTTCATATTCCATGCTTGCATTGTACTGACAAGAGTATAATGCATGATTCATATTATTTATTTCACATAATATTGTTTCGGAATTCATTTCTTATGGATTAAATACTTTGTTTATATTATGCAATAATAAACATATTATTGAGATAACTTCAATTTCATTGAAAAAGTTATATGATCCTTAAACACTTGTTAAACTGCCTTCTTATTTGATGGAATATTTCATGTACATATTTCAAAATATGAACATAAATTTTATAGCATTATGTGATTATACATGAAAGCATTAATGTTCTTAGATTAATTAAGGCATGAACTGAATTGGATATGACTTTAGTATCTACAATGAAATAAATTGATAAGTAATTTTTAACCACATGAATTGGCATGCAAGTCTCAAAAGAAACTATGGAAGCATGAGTTTACTAAAAGAATAATAATTTTAAGAGTGATCATATTTGATATATAATACTTATTGTGCACTTTCATATTGAGTTGAGACAATAGTTTTGGAACTTTTATGAAATAGAGATATTATGATATAAAATATTTGTTAGTTAATTTCACTAAAGGTGAATTTGAAGGCATCTTACTAAAAAAAAATCACTAAATAGTAAAAAGACAAATGAAATGACAAATTGATTGAAATATATATTTTGATAATTGAATGTGACATTTTTTGAAAATAATGTATATTTGCACGTGGTGATGCTGATAGTTTCTTATAAAATTTAAGAAATAAAAAAAAACAAAAATTACAACCATAAAATTGTGAGATTTGAGTACAATTTTACTATGTACAAATTATCCAAGATAATAAATTTAGTACAATTTATTAAAAAAATCATTAAGATAATCCTTAAATATCTTAAAAATACTAAAATGGCTTAGTCTATTCATCTAGCTTATCCAGTTGTAGTAAAAGAATAATTGTATCAAATATGGATAAAAGTATGAAATAGAATAGTTGAAATTTTTATATGAGTATAGAGTTATAGTTACAACTAATACCAACTATTTCTTACAATGACAAAAATGAGGTAACAATGTTTAGAGTGTATAAGAGATATGTAAAATAAAAGGATTTGACAAGTTAGCTTATAAAGTGACTATATTAGAGACTTAATTTCAAGTGGGGATAATTGTAAAAAAAAAAAATTTAATTACTAGATATTTAGTTAAGAGTATTACAAGCGGAATATGTTTAAGTCGTTACTATTAGACACTATTAATAGGAACTCAATTTTGAATTAGTAACTCTAATTACAAAGTTTAATGTATAAAAATAAGTTATTGTTATGTGTTTGTTAAACACTAGTAAGGGTGTGGGGACCATTGTGGTCTATTGCTTAGGGCAACTAAGTTTTTATACTCTTAATTGAGTTTATTATTTAAATGTCTAAATTAATGAAAACATAAAAAAAAAACTCTATCTATATAAAATATAAAAGTGGTGTTGCTTTAAGAAGAAAAAATTAGGGTTTTTATATAAATATTTATAAATAAGATAAGCACAATGTTATAATAGTGCTAACACAGTTATAAACCTCTAACAAAAGATTAATCAATATATTTAATCTTAACACTAAAAGTTGATGTTTAATTTGTGTATACCATCAACTTCATTAGAATTTTAAAATATATAAACTAATTAAAAGTTTAAATCGAGTGATACATTCTTATATTTGTAATATTTATTTATGTGAAATATTAAAGATTAAACACTAACATTTTAAACTAGTGAAGGATTGTTGATAGTTTAGAATATAATGTATCTCACATTTGATAGAAATATTTAATTATTAGTGATTGGACTTAATTTTTGTATTAATTTTATTCATATTTTAAATAATCATGTTTAAACATAAATAATTATTATATGACAAATAGAATAATTATTTGAATGGTAATAATTATTTGAACATAAATAAATGATTGTTCATACAAGTTATGATTGTACAAATGATCGTATAACCATTTAAATAAAAATTTATGTTGTTCATTCATTATAAATAATTATTTTAACATAATCAATTTTGCTACTTCTGATTAGAAAGTTTAATATTTTATTGTATTTTAGAGACACAATTGCTTTTAGAAAAGTATTCATTACCCCTCAAAGCCAAATTTTTTTCTATTATTTATATTTCCTTATTTATTTTTTTAACACAATGTGATACTTAAATTTTATAAATATTTAATATGTTACTGAACTATGAATTTATTAATTAATGTGGTATTTATTCCTAATGTAACTATTTTCAAATAATAAAACATGATGTACAAACACCATTCTAACTACTATATTAGTTAATAAATTTATAATTTAGATATCAAATTAGAAATTTTTAAAATTTAAGTATCAAATTGAACATTTCATTATAATTTAATGATTATTTGTAACATTACCTTATTTTTAATCTTAGCCATAGATTTGACTTTGATCTAAATATTAAAAAAGAGTGTAAAATTTTTTAATTTTACTAATACATAAATAAACCATTACTCTTTAACAAAATCATTTAGAAAATAAAAATGATCCCTGTTATAAGTTGGTTTTAATTAAAAATTAAAATAAATTTAAAAACTCAATAAAACAATAATATCTTACACATCAAATAGTGAAAAATTTAATTTTGTCAGACAAGGTTACATAATTTACACATATCTATGTAATGTTCACTTTTTTTTTTGTATTTAAATTTTTAATTATAGTTAAAGAGACATGTGACAAATTTATATAAACTGTTTCTTGAAATTTAAGAATTATGCATACATTTATTTTTTAAATTAAAATCCTACTATATGATTATCTTTTATTTTTTTGGTTAATATAAAGACGATTCTTTATGTTGTAGTATTTTTTTTATTTATATATATTTTTTGTTACATCAAAAATATAAAATTTTAATACAAGTAAAAAAAATTGATTCAAAATCAAACTTTGATATTTCTTCAAATATTTTTAATCATTAAATTATTTTATCTTATTTTCAATATTTTTAAAAATATTTTTCATTGAACTCAAAATGCACCGACAAAACCCTTGCCCACTGTGACATGACACGGCTTTACTTTTTTTTTTTTAAATTTGTTGTTTTCAAAATTCAAAGCTAATTAGGACTAATTTCGATTCCGTTGAAGCACCCGTGCGATGCAATACAAATTATTTTTTGTCCTTAATTATTATAATATGGGGTGCATTTGAATAGCATCTGAATGGTATAAACGGGGTAAAAATATTACACTAACCCTTCAGTCAGGTAACACGGTCAATTGTCTTATTATAAATTTTAAAATAAAATATAATTTTATTTTAATCTTATTACTTTAACAAGTAATCTCATCTGATTTTATTATTACATTTTTAAAAAAATATACTGTTTATTTAAATAGATCTTAAAAGTTTCCGAAAGTAAGATTAGGTAATCATCGTCACTATTTTCAAAGTCCATTAGGTTTTATTTAATAAAATTAGGTAATTTTTTTTATAAGAAAAATTTAAGGTAAATAGATTGTTCAGTTATGTCAAGATAAAATATATTGTATCTGATAATTTAAAATAAATGATTACAGATAATGTATTCGAAATGACCCTAACAAATAACTACTAATAAAATTTAAATCTAAATTTTTTTTATTAAAAAAATGAACATTAACCAATTGAATTAACTGTTTATTAATATTAAAATATTATTATTTTGCCTAAAAAAAGGAAAGGAATTTCATTTATAAATGGTTGTTAATGACACATTAACTTTTAAAAGTCACGAACTTACAAAAAAATTAAATTGATTAAATCAATTAATTCAATTAAAAATTCATAACTCTGGATTAAAATCTTTATAAATTGATGCAATTATTTCAATTATAGACTTTTGAATATTTAAACTTATTCTTTCTTCTTTGTAATTATCAAATTAAGAACGACTTTCAGGCATGATTTTTTTGCTCAAAATCATAATCATATATATTTTTTCAATATCAAAAGTGGTTAGTGAAATTTATTATCAAATAAGCCTTCGAATTTTAAAATTATTCAATTCAACCGTTATTGAACAAAATAAATATAAAGAAAAATGTAATTTTAATATGCGCTAAAGCTATTTTATTATGTATTATATTTTATACCTTGTGTAACGAGTCGAGACTTAATTTTTAGGTTTATACAATTTCAGGATTCGGACATACATTATTTTGATATTATAGATCAACTTATTTGTCACAGTTTACATTATTATGAGATATTATCCGTTTTAATCTCACGATTTTATCTCATAAAAGATGTATCACAATTAAAAAAATATGTGAATCTTTATATTTTATGATTAACTTTAATAAACAGTTGATGTAAAATTCAGTACTTCTCTTTAGATCCGTGACATTTACACATATCACAAAAAAGACAAGAAAAATAAGAAAAAAACACAGTTGGATCAACATTCATGTCACCAATGTGTTCAATGTGACCTTGACGCTTCGTGCAACAGAATTTTAGTGGGTTATACATAAGCATTAAGGATGACTTGTCTCGTAACTTTTCTTTATTTGCTGTATTTATATTTATATACATAAGCATTTAGTTAATGATTTTTAATTCATAAAGTCAAAAATCAAAAGTATACATATTGAATTGAATTATATTTTTTTATTAATTTTCATGTTACTTTTTAATATTTATAAACAAATTTAACTATTATTTTTAAATTTACGCAAGTAAACTAAAAGTAATATAAAAAAATTTTAAAAAATTGAGGAACTGAATTGAAAGAAGGCAATTTGATTTTTAGGAATATTCCCTTTGATTTTGATTAAGTTTCTGAAACTAAAAAATAATTCAAATTAATAATTTTATTTTAAAAGTTGAGATGAACCAAACCGTTTTCAGTGTAGGTTCTGTGAAAGTCAGCCATGGATCTTTGAGTCCGGCCCATTAAAATATCCTACAACCGAATCGAAAGATCCGAGACTATAAAGGTCTTCACTTTGATTCATGTGCCAAGTGCCAACGCTCCAATAACTAACCAAAAATTTTCGAATTCCCCTGCCATTCTCATTTTTACCCCCTGTAAGCGCACATTAGTATAAACCCAAGGCCGTAACAAAAAAAAAATAATCGTATTCATATTCAATATATATTTTAAATTTATTGTCATTTTCATCTTTGTAAAAATTTAATGAGTATAATAAATTCTATAATCATAATTTTAAACAAATAAAACTAAAATTTATTTTTAAATTTTTAAAATTTTATCTTGCACCTATCTATAATGTTTTTTTAAAAATATATTAAATTTAACATAATTTGCAAAAAGTTTAATACTATATCATAATTAAGAAATAATAAATCAAAAAGTTTTTTATTTAAAAAAAGAGTTGTTTTTAGAGATAGAGAAAAAGAAATGCATAAAAAAATTAATTCAACCAACTATAAAAAATAGCAAAAACATGTAACTCTAGATGCTAATTACTCAATAACAAAAAAAAAAATGTATATATATAAAATATATAAATACGGATATAAAATAAATATTATATTATTCATTTTTGTATCTAATAAAAATTTTTTAAAACCATGTTCATTTTTATTTTCATCCTGAAACTGAATACCCATTTTTCATCCCAAAAAATTAAGTTACCATTAGGTTAAAAGGAAGATTAACATACTTGCTAACAAACTCTACTGCAGGGCAATCTCGTAAATTCATGTCCATTCCCAAATTTTAACTTTTCCCGCCCAAAAAACAATTCCCCCTACCTCTCTTCCTCTCATAAAAAATCTGGGGTTTTCAATTTCTTCCATTTAAAAAAGAAAACTTTTTTACTGAAAAGTGAAATGCCAGACCTTGGAAATCTTTCTCAGTCTTCATCGTAATCTTTCTCTCGTTGCCCTAACTTGAGGCTTCTCTCTCTTGACTCTGCCAATACCGCCGATGTTTTTGAGCCTGACACCTTCAAAACCCTACCCGTAAACTGCAATTGGGACCAGAGATTGGTCCACAAAGGCGGGGACTGCAACGGAAACGGAATTAGGGTTTTGAAGCGAGCGAAGAGGGGTTCTAATGGTATAGTTTTGGAGGATTATTTGAGTGATTGGGTTCATTGGAAGATGGAATCTGGTGTTCCTGAGTCTCGCTGTTTTCTTCCATTTCTCGTTGGGTCTAAGAAATTGGTATTGGTCTTTCTTGTTTCCTGATTCTTTTGCTGTTTGGTTTTAGGAAAGTGTCTGCGAAAATAAATGGAATTTAAGTTTGAATTTTGTATTTTTTGTTCGTTAATTATCAATTGGTTTATTGAAAATGGCAGAAAACACGCAAGTACAAAATATTGAAATTTGTCAAACGTGAAATTGTTGTTGGAAGGTGTATGACAGTTAAAGTTAAAGAAATTGAGTTTTTCTTGGATTTTACTTTTGTTGCTTGGAGAATTTGGCAATTCAATTACATGGTTTATCTTCAATTACTTAGAATTTGTGGGAAAGAAAAAACGTAAGATAAGAATTTTTTATTTAAATTAAATTTAAGGAACCTGGGAAATAGATATGTTAGTAAGGTGATTCTGAAGATGGCTGATATCTGGCCTATTTGGTGTGGGATTGTTTTGTTTGCCATTAAAAATGTAGCCACTTTAGAATTAATGGCTTATTTTTGTTTTTTGCACTGATTTCTGAGATTGATAACATTTGATGCTAATTATGTGCCAATTTTATTCTTGCTCTTGTCCAAGAAGTTATTGTTATGTTCCTTTAGGTATATGGTGAGGGGATGTGGTAAACACGTGATCAGGAATGACGTGGATGTGGCAAAAGGAGGATTGAAGCAGAACTTGGATTATTGAATGCTGTGAGAGGTAGGAAGTAGGATATAAATAGAATGGAAGTAATGTATAGGAAATAGGGAAGGGAGATTGAGAGTAGAAAGAATGAAGCAGAGCTGGAACTAGGAATTGAAGTTGAAAAAAGACATGGAGAATAGATAAGTGAGATAGGGAGATCTGTTATAGAAAGCTTTATGTTTGCCAAATGAGATCCCTGTGTCATTTATATTAGTTTATGAGGTGCACTTAATGCAACCAATAAGAAAGCAGGTGCCAACTCATTTTGTATTAAAGATAATCATGGTAAATTTTAGGACAGTTGACTAGTATGATGAGGTTATGACAGAAAGTTGAAATGGTGTAATGTTTTGGACTATGAGGGGGTACTCATGTATTTTGTAGAAAAGTTAAGGAATCTTAACTATCTCCATATCCGAACCGTCAAGTTAAGCTTTCTACAACATTTGAAGAGAAAGGATCTTGTTATTGGTCTTGGGGTTAAATCGATGTATGTGTATTGCATTCGTGTTATATTCAAATGATTGAGAATGAGGTTCATTTGGTACATTTACAATTAACCAAAAAAATTTATCTACAATTACTATAATGTAGAGTATAGTTGCAATTTTTTGTGTCTTAATGCATTCCCCCCTCCCATTTTCCATAAAAGATAAAAGTGCTTTTATGTGTTTTACTTACATACAGTCTTGGTGTTAGGAACCTATCTAGATAGCAGCCAATACTTTATCAGGTTTCTTTTTTGTGGATAGAGGGATTAAAATTGTGTAACTAAGTTTGTCTAAATATTTCTTGAGAGATTATAAATATTTTTGTAATTTCCATATGATAATTGGATGGACGTTTAGCTTGCTAAATCTTTACTGTTAAATTCTCCTTATGAACTCCTTGATGTTAGTTGGTGGTTTCTTGCTAGTGAAGAGGATATGTTACTTGGTTCTTTATAGTTACTTTTTGTTGATGGTGTTTTTGGGTGTCTTAGCTAGATGGAAGCTGGTTTGAGGTTGAAGATAGAATGATCTAGACCAACAGCTAGAAAGTACGATTAGGGGGTGTCGGAGTTAGTTCTCCAGGATGCGTTTCGACTCTCAAGTCAGTGAGGTGTTTTAGGTTAAGAGAGGAAGAAGATGAGGTGTGTGGAGGGAGCTATGATGGAGGGAAAATGCTTAAGCCTTACGTACTTGAGTCTCTTCTTTACCTTTTATATGAGACAAAGGGTGGTGGCTTGAGTGAGACAATTGACAGTTGATGGTGAGTCTATGTGGAGCTCAAGGAGAGTCCACTTTGGCAACTACAAACTACATTTAATGATCCGAGATAAGCGTGGGCTGCATGTAATGGTTCCAGACAAGTTGGAGGTCAAGTGTTTAGTTCTAAAGTGATGCCTTGATGGGACATCATTAGAGGTGTTGGGTGAGCCTTTCCTTGACCAGAAGTGAGCCTGTTCTATGGTAAGGTGATGTGGCATGGCAGCTGGGCATGCATTGATTGGGCGTTCAAGAGAGTTGGCTTCATTGTCAGTGTAAATGGGTGTAACACTTTCTTTGTATAAGCGAGTTTTAGAGATTTATGATCAATGGAAAATTAGTTTAGCAGAAACTGCATCATGCAATGTGGGGTGTGCAAAATATGTGTTTTAGTTATCTCGTTTTGCCACTCAGTTTGTTGTTTAGTTTGGGTTCTTGGGATTTTCTTTGTCAGAGGAACTTTCTTTACTTCCAGGCAAAATGTGTACCTTTTCTACTTAAGGTGGTAAAGATCATAGGAATATTTTTGCATATTTTGTGCCTTGGACCATTTGGATTTCAGATTGAATGCTGCAAGAAATTGTCATCATACATGAACCTTATTCCTTAAAGTTTATGATGTTTTAAGCCTTTAATTTTGTGAATTGTACCTGGAGTCTTTTGAGGTTAAGTACCATCTCCCTCAGTTAAAATTTTCTGTCGTGAGGGTGCTAGCATTCATGTCCTCCCAATTTCTTGCTTGTAACTAGTTTCTTTGTTCCTTGCAATAGAGTTTACTTATCAGATAAAGAGAAGGAACTGTACTGCATATTCTTTCAAAGAGTTGAGTTTGTTTTCTGATACATTGCTAACAGTGACATTAGCAGTTACAATACGACTGCAAAAGCCAGGCACCTTATGTTCATTATTTTTAAACTTGCATGTGTTATGTGCCGCTAGATTTTACTACCTATTTGTTTCTATTCTCTGTATTAATTTTTTGGAGAAAATTGTGTTTCTAATTGTGAATATAATATCCTTTGATTGTGATAAGCTTGTAAATATTTGACTGTTTGTTTATTGTTTTTGTACTTTTTTCTTTCATTTTGTGCTGAAAATTCATCTCAGGTTGAATGTATCCATTGCCATAAGCTCATCTATCCAGGGGAAGAGGTCTGTTGCTCAGTTCGTGGTTGTCAAGGAGTTTATCACAAAATATGTGCCAAAGAAAGTCTTAAGATGTCCAACCCAAAAAAAATTCCAGTGTCCGCAGCATGTAATACTTGCATCTGCTAATTTATTCTTTACTTTCAATGACTTTTACATCCTTGTACTGTTCTTTGTTTTTATCCAGCAAAACTGTGTTTGGTCATTTGCAAAGTAGAGAAGGGAAAAACAGAGAGGTGTGGATATTCATATATACATATATAGGTTTCTTGCCTAAACAGGAAGAACTGGTAGAACCATGGTTTTTTTTTTTTTTCCTTTGACTTGTTACTTTTTGTTTTTGTGTGTACATTCTTAACAACTGTTTTCTTAGTATTTCAGTTATGTTGTTATTGTTGATTGGTAAAAGTCTGCCTGGGCTATTTTCTCTATATTCCTTATTGTTCCCATGGTGTTGAGTATGCCTTACAGTAAACATAATTTAGTTACTACTCAAGGGTTACGTGTTTTCTTAGTTTTTTCTTCTTGGGACTAAACCCTAAATTTCTAATGATTCTGTGATAGTGGATTCATGTTATGCTGTAATCATTAAAGCTTATTGCTCATATCTCTTGATAGAGATATGATCTGAGATGTCATCTGCAGAAACTGAAAGCAACGTTTTGTATTAGTTTTGACCAGACATCTGAAAATGTTTAAGTTTGATGCTTGTTCTTGATACTAGCCTTTCTGACAACCTCCTTTATGATTATTACTTATTTTGTCCTATATCATTGTGATATATGTGAGGATTGCCAACGTCTTCATAATTATTATTGCAGTTTTGCTTGTCTACTTGGCATCTTCAATGAATAGGTATGCTTCATTTGCAGACAGATTACAATGGCAATGTGTATGTTGTACAATTTCATCTCATGATAAGTGCTCCCCGTGGCTGGATGTAGTGATTCATTTGAAGGACAAACCGGGGAAAGCAATTTGCTGGAGGCATCCAACTAATTGGCGGCTAGGTAAGAAGGTCAATTTCTTCTTCCTTCATCAGATATGTCCTTTTCTGGCCTTTAGCCTTTTATTATTATTTACTATGACAAGGCTGCCTTCAAGTGCCATTGATAAAATCTTTATTTGATGTGGGTTGCATGGTTGTGGTTCTATCTTAAATAAAATTTTATTTAATTGTGTGGGAAAATATTTATTTATAGTTTGTTGTAATATTGTAATCTATGTATTTATATTTGTATCTCTAGAATTAAGTATTTGTATTCTTAGAATTAAGGACAAAAAATTAGGATAGACAATCCTTCAATTATAGGATCAGTTTTTAAGAAGATTTAGTTTTTTAGTTTAATTCATATTTAGTTGTATATAAAACTAAGGCTTTTGTATAATTTTTAATGAACAGTTTTTCAATATATATTTAGTTTTTTCTCTTACTTTTTCATATAGATTTATTTCTTAGTTTTTAGAGCTTTAGACTCTTCTTAGGAAGTAAAATTTTCAACCTTCATTGTTGACTTTTATTTTAGGCCTTCATTGTTGAACTCTGTTTAGATCTTTATTGTCGAACCCTGTTAAGGCCTTCATAGCCATTCTATTTTTCTCTTCTTTAGCCTTCATTGTTAAGAGTCATTTTTGGTTATATTTTAAGATTTGTTTCAGTTCAAAGAAAGATATCATTACCATTTAATTTGAAAAAGTGTCAATTGGAAAAATCACCAGAGTATTATAGATGTTTCGAAAACAAGAAGAGTTCGACAGAAAAGAGATTGAAAAGTTCAGAAACCTATTGAAAACTCTTGAAAAGCTTATTGTGGTATGTTCTTTGGGTAAGGTCTCTAGTTCAGGTAAAGCTTTTGGTTCTTATGGATTAAATGTATCGATTAAGCCTATTATAAGTTTTTAGATCATTGACTCAGAAGTCACAGACTATATGATACATTTCTCATAAAAATTTAGTACATATACCTTGTGTCCTAGTAATAAGAAAATTATTATTGTAGATGGTTTATTTACTATAGTGACAGGATTAGGAGATGTTTAAGTTAATCTCTCGTTTGTTTTAAAAAATGTTTTTCATGTTCTCGGATTGTTTATTAATTTGATATTTATACAAAAATTTACCAAAGATATGAATTGTAAAGTTACTTTTTATTTTTTTATTGTGAATTTTAGGATTAAAGATCGGGGGAAATGATTGTACTTACTAAGAAGAAGGATTGACTATAACATTTCAAAACATTAAATAATACAAGTAATATTAAGAAAAGTTTATATTTGTCATTTCTTTTTGAAAAATCTTTTAATAGAAATAAAATTTGGCTTTATCATTTTCGTTTTGGATATATTTCTTTTGGAACTTTGAGAAACATGTTTCTTTCTTTATTCAAAGGATTAAATGTCGAAAATTTTCATTATAATATTTATGAACTTGTAAAGCACAGACATGTGTCTTTTTCAATTAGTAACAAAAAAGTTCTATTTCTTTTTATTGATTTATAGTGACATTTGAGGTTCTTCTACAATTCCTAATACTTTTGGTGCAAGATAATTTGTTTCATTTAAAAATGATTATACTAGAGTCTTTTAGGTTTTTTTACTTAAATCTAAATTAGATGTAAATAGTGTGTTTTTAAGTTTCCAAAATATGATTTAGAATCAATTTGGAGTGAGAATTAAGAGATTTAAGTCTGATAATGCTAGAGACTATTTCAATTAGAGTTTATCCACCTATTTCCAAAAAGAGGGGATTATGCATAAGTCATTTTGTATTAATACTTCACAACTAAATGGAGTGGCAGAAAGGAAAAACAACCATTTATTAGCCACATTCTGAGTTTTCCTTTTTCAAGCAAATGTACCCAAATTTTATTGGGGGAAGCTGTTTTCACTGTCACACATATTATAAATAGGTTACCTTCAAAAGTTTTGAGATTTAAAACTCTTATGGAATTACTGTCACAATCTTATCTCAACTTTAATACCACAAACAATTTCACATCTATGATATTTGGTTGTACATAATTTGTTTATGTTCACAGTCATAACAAAGAAAAGTTGGATCTAAAAGTGATTAAGTGTATCTTTGTGGGGTATTCATCAACTCAGAAAAGGTATAAGTGTTATCATCCTTTTATCAAAAAATTTTATGTCTACAGATATTACTTTTGAAAAAAATAAACAATTTTTTATTCAACCTTATCTTTAAGGGAAGATTTCATTCATGAAAAATAAGGATAAAGAATTTTTTTGCTTGATTTGTCTTTGTCTATTTTTCAACATTTTCACCTATTAATTCTTTTAAGTCGAAACCTATTTTTGCTGAGCCTAAGTCAAACATTGAATTTGATTTTGAACCTATTTCAAATACAAAAAATGTGACAAAGGATATATTGTTCTTGATTTTATGAAAGAATTACAAGTGTACTCAAGAAAGAAAGTTTCAGAGCCTAAATCAATGCTAGTCCAAAAATCTGATCCTAACTCTGGAAATGAGGTAACTATAGTTTTTGACTCTATTTCTCAAAATGAGTATGAATCTCCTAAACCTATAACTAGTGATTATGATCTGTCTATTGTTATTAGGAAGGAACTAGAGAATGTACTAAGCATCTATTATACCTAATTTTTAATTTTGTGTCATTTAAAAAATTCTCACCATTCTACAAAAATTTTCTTGTGAGCCTAAACACTATTTCTATTCCAACTACATTATTCGAGGCATTATTTAGTAAGAAATGGAGGCAAGCTATGAAAATAGAAATGGACGCTTTAGAGAAAAATAAAACATGAGAACTAGTAGAGTTATTTAAAAGAAAAAAATCTAGTAGGGTGTAAATCGGTTTTCATTATAAAATACAAGACGAATGGTACTGTTGAAAGGTATAAAGCCAGGTTAGTGGCTAAGGGCTACATTCAAACCTATGGAGTGGATTATTAAGAAACCTTTGCTTCGGTTGCTAAGATGAATACAGTTAGAATTTTATGATCATTGGTTGCAAATTACAATTGGCAGTTTCAACAATTTGATATAAAGAATGTTTTTCTACATGGTGATTTGGAAAAAAAAATATATATGAAAGTTTTACTAGGATTTAGAGGTCATCTAGAAGCAGGCAAAGTATGTAAGTTGAAAAAGGTTTTATGTGGCCTTAAACAGTCTCTTAGGGCTTGGTTCGGGAGATTTGCCAAAGTAATACTAGTAATGGGATGTAAACAGAGTCAAGAAAATCATACATTGTTTATCAAGCAATTTGATTCAGGAAGAGTCACAGTTCTATTAGTGTTTGTTGATGATATAATTGTAATTAAAGATGATGAAAAAGAAAGAGAATCTTTAAAACAGTTTTTGGTTAGAGAATTTGAGATAAAAAAGCTAGGGAGATTGAAGTACTTCCTAAGAATTGAAGTAGCTCACTCACGGTATGGTATTTTCATCTCACAACAGAAATATGTGATAGATCTTCTGAAGGAAATGGGAAGCTCTCATGTAAACTTGCAAATATCCCTATAAATCTTAATCATAAAATTGGAGAAGCTAACGAAGATGTTGTTATAGATAAAAAGATATACCAAAGATTAGTTGAAAGATTCATTTATCTCTTACATACTAGACTTGATATAGCATATGCTGTGAATGTGGTAAGTCAATTTATGCATAATCATAAAGAAATGTACCATAGGTTGTCTATCATATATTGTACTATTTGAAGGTTAATTCTGGGAGGGGTATCTTATTCAAAAGAAATTTAAGGCTAGTTCTAGAAGCATATATGATGCTAATTATGCAAGTTCAAGAACTGATAGAAAATTCATCTTAAGTTATTGCACTTTCTTAGGTAGTAATCTTATGACTTGGAGGAGCAAAAAATAGAATGTGATGGTAAGATCAAGTGCTAAAGCAGAGTACAGAGCAATGGCTTAAGGAATTTGTGAACTCCTATGGTTAAAGATTATCTTAGAAGACTTGAAGATCAAGTGAGATGGATCAATGAGACTTTATTGTGATAACAAGTCTGCAATAAGCATTGTGCACAATCTTGTGCAACATGACAGAACAAAACACATTGAAGTAGACCGACATTTCATAAAGAAAAAACTAGACAGTGGGTTAATTTGTACACCTTATGTATCAACCAAGGGTTAACTTACAGATGTGTTGACCAAAGGTCTCAGTAGTGCAACATTTCAAGAAATTATTTTCAAGTTGAGAATGAAAAATACCTATTCACTAGCTTGAAGGGATGGACCAATGAAACTCTATTGTGATAACAAGTTTGCAATAAGCATTGCGTACAATCCTGTGTAACATGATAGAACAAAACACATTGAAGTAGACTAGCATTTCATAAAGGTAAAACTAGACAGTGGGTTAATTTGTACACCTTATGTATCAACCAAGGGTCAACTTGTAAATATGTTGACTAAAAGTTTCAGTAGTGCAACATTTCAAGAAATTATTTCCAAGTTGGGAATAGAAAACACCTATTCACCAGCTTAAGGGGGAGTGTGAAAAAACATTTATTTACAACTTGTTGTAATCTTGTAATCTATGTATTTATATTTGTATCTCTAGAATTAAGTATTTGTATCCCTAGAATTAAGGACAAAAAATTAGGATAGATAATCTTTCAATTATAGGATCAATTTTTAAGAAAATTTATTTTCTTAGTTTAACCTTTATTTAGTTGTATATAAACCTAAGTTTCTTATATAATTCTTAATGAGCAATTTTTCAATATATATTCAATTTTCCCTCTTACTTTTTCACACATTTATTTCTTAGTTTTTCCACAAATTGCATTTTCTTTCTTTGTTTTCTTTTTGGAGGTCATGTTTTGGTTATTTTTGCTAAATACCTAAATCTATACCAATTCAGGAATACCACTTTGAAATTTATGTCTCCAGCGAACTTTTTAGTAGTTGACTTGCAATCTAGTCATCCATATGTGTGGAATATGAATAGATATGGTTTATTAATTATTTTTGAAACTTAAGGTTGTATTTTGGAATTTGAATTTGAATGGAGGGATTTGATTTCAAATTTAGCACAAATTGTGAGATTAAGCTCCTGAAATATGACTTTCTTGATTACACTTAAGTCTATACATTTATCTATCAAATAATGAATTTGATATACTTAGATGGCGAGTACATTTTAAGTTCCTCCCTTCTTGCTCTCTTACACACAGAAGTGCCTTCAAATTTTATTAAATTTTACAAAATTATCTATGTTCTTTAACTCATACTAGAGTTTGAGACTAAAGAAATCTTACCTTAGGAAAAAGGTTATAGGTGTAAGAGAGGTGTAGTTGATGCAAGACCCAAATTTTATTTTATTAATTTGATGCAAGATTTCAATTGTTATGTAGTTGATAGAACTCTAGGTGTTGCAAGTTCTTTGACTCATATGAGAGTTTGAGACACTTTTAGATGCATGACCTCAAGGATTGAGTTAGAGTTTGTCCACTTTTAGCTCACCAATAATAACTGTGATTCGAAACCTGATCCATGATTGTATTCATGTTCAGCAGGCTAAAAATTGCATGCAACATATCAAATCTTTTTTGTTTCTCAAATTTGAGATGTGAGAATCCCTTGTTCATTATGGAGTTTGAGCTTCTTTTGCTTGTGTGTATGTTTATGCCTGATGTCGTGCTGCCCTATAACAGTTTTCAAGTCCAGAAAGTTATTGTAAAGGATGGATTGGTCTATGATTTAGTTTTCCTGGTCAGGCTACTTGCTGGTTTATTGTATCATTGTGTTTTATCTTGAGGTTTATCTCTCCATTCTTATTTTCTATTGATTAGGCTGGCTGACAGGACTGACATATTTATTGAATGAGCAGCATGCAGTTCCAGCAACTGAAGTAGAGGTCAGATTTTTTTGCACAGTTTATAGTGAAATTGTTCAATTCATGTAGTATAAACTTCCTTTATGCGATATTTATTAATGTATAAATTGTTAATATATGTTTATGGGAAAGAAGGCAATATTATCAGATAACTTTTTCAAGTTTGGGACAAAAATGTCTTGATACTCTGTGTGGGAAAATACTTATTTATAGTTGGTTGTAATCTTGTAATCTGTATATTTATATTTGTATCTCTAGAATTAAGTATTTGTATTCCTAGAATTAAGGAAGATTTGGTTTCTTAGTTTAACTCCTAGTTAGTTGTATATAAACTTAAGATTTTTGTATAATTAAAATATAAGCAGTTTTTTAATATACATTCAGTTTTCACATGGTATCAGAGCTTTAGGCTCTTCTTAGGAAGAAAAATTTTCAACCTTCATTGTTGACTTTTTTAGGCCTTTATTGCCGAACTCTTTCAAAGAAAGATATCACTATCACCCAATTTGAGGAAATGTTAATTGAAAAAATCATTGGAGCATTACAGATGTCTCAGAAACAAGGATAGTTCAATAAGGAAGAGATTGAAAAGCTGAGAAACTTATTGAAAATCCTTGAAAAGCCTACTATGGTATGTTCTTTGGGTAAAGTTTCTAGTTCAGGTAAAACTTTCGGTTCTTATGGATTAAATGTCTCGGTTAAGCCTATTATGAGTTCTTGGGTCATTGACTTAGGAGCTACAGATCACATGACACATTCCCCCATAAAAGTTTAGTATAACCTATGTCCTAGTAATAATAAAATTGTTGTTGCTGATGGTTCACTTACCACAGTGGCAGGATTAAGAGATGTGCGAGTTAATCCCTCGTTTGTTCTAAAAAATGTTCTTCATGTTCCTGGATTGTCTACTAATCTGATATTTATACAAAAACTTACCAGAGATATGAATTGCAAAGTAACTTTTTATCCTTCTTATTGTGAATTTCAAGATCAGAGTTCGGGGAAGATGATTGGACTTGCTAAGGAGAAAGATGGATTATATTATCTTGAGACATCAAATAACACAAGTAGTATAAAAAATAGTTTACCTTTGTCATTTCTTTCTGAAAAATCTTCCAATAAAGACAAAATCTGGCTTTATCATTTTCGTCTTGGACATCTTTCTTTTGGAACCTTGAAAAACATGTTTCTTTCTTTGTTCAAAAAATTAAATGTTGAAGATTTTCATTGTGATATTTACAAATTTACAAAACATAGACGTGTGTCTTTTCCAATCAGTAACAAAAGAAGTTTTACTCCATTTTACTTGATTCATATGACATTTGAGGTCCTTCTACAATTCTTAATATTTTTGGTATGAGATGGTTTGTTTCATTCATAGATGATTGTACTAGGCTCTCTTGGGTTTTTTTACTTAAATCTAAATCAGATGTGAATAGTATATTTTTAAGCTTCCAAAACATGATCCAAAATCAATTTGGAGTAAGAATCAAGAGATTTAGGTCTGATAATGCAAGAGACTACTTCAACCAGAGTCTATCCACCTATTTTCAAAAGGAAGGGATTATCTATGAGTCATCTTCTGTTAATACTCTACAGCAAAATGGAGTGACAGAGAGAAAAAATAGCCATTTACTAGCCACAACCCGAGCTTTTCTTTTTCAAGTAAATGTACCTAAATCTTATTGGAGGGAAGCTGTTCTCACTGCCACACACATTATAAATAGGTTACCTTCAAGAGTTTTGGGATTTAAAACTCCTATGGAACTACTTTCACAATTTTATCTCAACCTCAATACCACAAACAATCTCACACCTAGGATATTTGGTTGTACATCATTTGTTCATGTTCACAATCATAATAGGGGAAAGTTGGATCCAAGAGCGATTAAGTGTATTTTTGTGGGGTATTCTTCAACTCAAAAAGAATATAAGTGCTATCATCTTTCTATCAAAAAATTTTATGTGTCTGTAGATGTCACTTTTGAAGAAAATAAACCATTTTTTACTTAACCTTATCTTCAGGAGGAGACTTCATTAATGGAAGATAAGGATAAAGACTTTTTTTTGCTTGATTTGCTCCCTTCTTCAACATTTACACCCATTAATTCTTCTGAGTCGAAACTTATTTCTGCTGAGCCCAAGTCAAATACTGAATTTGAGTCTGAACCCCATTCCAAATACAGAAGATTTGACAAAGGATAATATTGTTTTTGATTCTATGAAGGAATTACAGGTGTACTCAAGAAGGAAAGTTTCAGATCCTGAATAGTGCAATCCAAGAAGCCTATCTAACTCTTGGAATGAGTAATAAGTTCTTTGACTTTGTTTCCCAAACATGAGCAGAAATCTCTAAAAATATAATAGTGATTATGATTTGCCTATTGCATTAGGAAGGCCAAGATGTACAAGCATGCCACTATTCCATATCTAATTTTGTGTCATTTGAAAAAATTTCTAAACCATCTACAATTTCTTGTGAGCTAAACACTATTTCTGTTCAATACATTATCCGAGGCATTATCCAGTGAGAAATGGAGGCAACCATGAAAATAGAAATGAGCCTTAAGAAAAATCAGACATGGAAACTGGTAGAGTTGCCTAAAAGAAAAAATTTAGTGGGGTGTTAAATGGTTTCATTGTAAAATACAAGGCAATGGTACTGTTGAAAGGTATAAGCGCAGTTAGTGGCTAAGGGCTACACTCAAACCTAAGGAGTGGATTATCAGGAAACCTTTGCTCCAATTGCCAAGATGAATACAGTTAGGATTTTGTTATCGTTGGTTGCAAATTACAATTGACAGCTTCAATAATTTGATGTAAAGAATGCTTTTTTACATGGTGATTTGGAAGAAGAAATATATATGAAGGTTCCACCGGGATTTGGAGGTCATCTAGAAGCAAACAAAGTATGCAGGCTAAAAAAAGCTTTATATGGCCTTAAACAGTCTCCTAGAGCTTGGTTCGGGAGATTTGCCAAAGTGATGCTAGCAATGGGATATAAACAGAGTCAAGGAGATCACACATTGTTTATCAAGCACTCTGATTTAGGGAGAGTCACAGTTCTATTAGTGTATGTTGATGATATAATTGTAACTGGAGATGATGAAAAAGAGAGAGAATCTCTAAAACAGTGTTTGGCTAGAGAATTTGAGATAAAAGAGTTAGGAAGATTGAAGTACTTCCTAGGAATTGAAGTAGCTCACTCACGGCATGATATTTTTATCTCACAACAGAAACATATGATGGATCTTCTGAAGGAAACTGAGAAGCTTGCATGTAAACCTGCAAATACCCCTATAGATTCTAATTATAAAATTGGAGAAGCTAATGAAGATGCTACTGTAAATAGAGAGATGTACCAAAGATTAGTTGGAAGACTTATTTATCTCTCACATACTAGACCTGATATAGCATATGCTGTGAGTGTGGTAAGTCAATTTATGCATAGTCCTAAAGAAGTGCACCTATAGGTTGTCTACCGTATATTACACTATTTGAAGGCCAATCCTGGGAGAGATATCTTATTTAAAAGAAATTCGGGATTAGTTCTAGAAGCATATATAGATGCTGATTATGCAGGTTTAGTAATTGATAGAAGATCCACCTTAGGCTACTGCACTTTCTTAGGTGATAATCTTGTGACTTGGAGGAGTAAAAAACAGAATGTGGTGGCAAGATCAAGTGCTGAAGCAGAGTTCAGAGTAATGGCCCAAGGAATTTGTGAACTACTATAGTTAAAGATTATCCTAGAAGACTTGAAGATTAAGTGGGATGAACCAATGAGACTCTACTGTGATAACAAGTCTGCAATAAGTATTGCACACAATCTTGTGCAACATGACAAAACAAAACACATTGAAGTAGACCGGTATTTCATAAAAAAGAAACTAGACAGTGAGTTGATTTGTACACCTTATGTATCAACCAAGGGTCAACTTGCAGATGTGTTGACTAAAGGTCTCAGCAGTGCAACATTTCAAGAAATTATTTCCAAGCTGGGAATGATAAACATCTATTCACCAGCTTGAGGGGCAGTGTGGGAAAACACTTATTTACAGCTGGTTGTAATCTTGTAATCTGTATATTTATATTTGTATCTCTAGAATTAAGTATTTGTATTCCTAGAATTAAGGAAGATTTAGTTTCCTAGTTTAACTCCTAGTTAGTTGTATATAAACCTAAAATTATTGTATAATTAAAATATAAACAGTTTTTTAATATACATTCAGCTTCCACGCTCTGGCATTGTTCATTTATTATTATCTGTTATAAATTGAAGCCTTCCAATATGCCATAATGAGAGTGTATGTTGTACTTCACACTTCATTTATTAGAAAAGGTTGGGGGGGGGGGGAAGGAGATTGCAGTCTATCTGTGCAACAATTAGCTTTTGCCTGTGTATTGTTCTATTTAAGCGTTAGATTGACTTGATACCTTGATGTACTTCTTTACTTTGGACAACCCCTGGAAAACAAATAATTTTCTGGTTTGTGTCTTGAAAATCTGAATTTGATAAGGTTTTTCCAAAGAATGTATAGAAAAGACTATTTATGTCGTTAATTTCTTATAAGTTTATTGGAGGAGTTTGTTATAATTGTTGTTGTTGATCACACCTAGTGAAGTTGGTTTTCAACGAGAATCTCTTCAAGATCGTCAAGATCACCAGAATCTTCAAGGATAAAATAATAATCTATACCATGCCGACTCATCTGTCCATTTTCTTGAAAAATGTTTGGTCACAGTTAATGATTTCTGTCAAATATGCTCAATGACTCCAGATTTAATTGGCTAACTTTTTCCATCCTTTGTATTTTAGGAAATTTTCTGTCAATTGCCTTTACCTTATGTGGATGAGGAGTTCAAGCTTGACTTGATATGTAGAGAATTAATGGAGAATAAATTGGAGCCACCTCCATATGTCCACATCAAGTGCCGTATCCTAAGAATTTCATCACTATATTAAACCAAATTCAAGTTTATGAGTTGAATGATTGCATCACAGGCTTGTAAAGTTAGCTTGACTTTCTTATTTAAGTACATACTAAATATAAACAAATATTAATTGTCAAAGTTTTTTTCTGTTTGGAACTGGAGTTCTTTCCATGACCTATAATGCACATTGTCTTTAATAATAGTTTATAAATGGGATTTTTTTTGAGAAATTTCTTATTAATATGAATACTTTGGAGTTCAGTATTGTGTGCAAATGTAATTTGTCATACATATATTTACCTTCATATTGCATGCTTAGTAGAAATATTAGGTTGAACCATGATATAAAAAGAATTAAAACAACTTAAGACTAAGATTTGGCAAGTTGTGTAATGAATTTTGGTTGCTTGAATTTTGTTGATGTCTGCAATATTTAGTTGTTGAAAGGTGCCTTTCCTTTGTTTATTTAAGCATTGATGGTGAATGCCTAATTATCATTACCCCCTGTAAAAGTAGAATTAATCGAGCGAATTCTAGCTGATGATAGTATTATATTACAAAACTAATGATTGTTGCTGTGCTCAGTATTCCAACAAGTAAAGAGTTAGCTAAGATTTTTTGCTAATATAGTTTTGCTTTCTATCACTATGACTTATTTGCTGATTGAGAAGAAAAAAGAGTTCTTTATATTCTAGTATATACCCTGCAATCGCCCTGATTAAATTTTTAAACCTAAATCTAAGTTTTGTAGTTTGTTTTCTTAAATTTTAGAATAAACAAACTTGAACAAATGCGCAAACTATGTACATGTTTTAAGTTTTTTTCCAAATATGTTTGCATTTAAAATAATTAGGGATGTGTTAGAAGAGAATGAGAAATAAGAAATATTGTTTTTAATGTGCTAATGGACATTGCTAATAAAATAATGCTGTCCGATGTTAAACAAATTCTTTTTATTCCACTTAAGATATGGGTAATAAGATGGCCAAGCATAATGTGTTGTGATAGTTGAATTATAAGGACTCAATTATGTCTTGTCCTTTTGAGATGTTGAATGCTATTTCCAATTTGGCAAATGCAAATTTTGTTTCATTATAATGACTGTTGTAATATACTTTTTTTTTAAACTGCCTTAAAAGAAGTTAGATGTTTACCTAGTGAAGAAGACGTGTTATGATGCCGATGATGATATTGGATGCAAAAGTTGTAGTTCTGCTTGCTCTGAGGATTGTGTATGCGGGTATTTATGATTTGTCTTTCTCTATTTTGCTTAACACAGGTTAATAAATGATCATCTATGCTAGTGTATTAAATGAATTGTTCTTCCTCCCTCCTCCATGCACACCTTTTTCTGAAATTCTACTTGATTGGTAATTTGTTCCTGAGCATTTTAGATCTACTAAAATTTCTCATAGAAAATTATTGAATATATTTTTCCTTTAAAATTTGTATCATTCTCTATTACATAAGTATAATATCAGCTGAAGACATTAATCATTTATTGAATTGGATGATGCCTTGTACTTCTATGGATGAAAAATCATAATTTTATAATTATTCTATGTCCCACATCCCACATGATATTATTCAACTTACATAGTTGTTGCTTACCACTCCATGCCTAAGGCTTTGTTATTATTATTATTATTATTATTAGTATTTTTAATTTCCGTGGACACTACATAGCAGTGGACATGTCATGAAGTGCTAAAAGTGTTTTTTTGGTGGAAGGGGGGTGTATTTCTTTTTGCACTGCAAATGAATTATAGTTTTGGAGTTAGTTAACAATATTCTCAGAACACAGTTTCACTTACTCTTACTCACAAATCATGCATAAACTTTCTTATTTACATGTTGCCGGTTAACTTGTCTAAAGTTTTGGATGACATAGACCCATGAAACATTTTATAGCTGTATCTTTAGGAGCAACATTGGTCTAGTCTTAAATCTAACCATTTTGATGCTGGTATAGGCATAGATGCAATCAGTTTGACAGTTAGACATAAAAAATATGTTGTCATTGTCTATTTACTAATGAAATATTCCAGGTTTTACCAAGAAACAAAGAACCTTTCTTGTTCCACTTGCTTGATTGCACTATGGAATTTCATATGTATAACGAGAATAAGCACAAATTTCACCATCTGATGTTTATGGAAGGCTTCCTCACAGCTTCTTCTTTCCTTTTCTTTATTTAAGAACTGAATGCTAATTAAATAACTATCATTCTTTGCAGTTATTGATGGTGCTCAGAGTGAACAGAGGCTTTGGGACATGAAATTCAAAGGGATGAACAACTTTTACATGTGTGAAATTCGAAAAGACTTCACAATTGATGCAACTTTCAAAGGGAATGCATCTCTTTTTCTAAATCACAGCTGCAATCCCAATTGTGTTTTGGAGAATTGGTTGGTATTAATGATATTGCTTTTTTTTTTTTATTAAATATGTTTTAACTGTTAAATATCTGTAAAAGCTTATGGTTTCTTAAGATTGGAAAGCATTATATTATGAGTTAAAGCTTTTATTGCAAATATGGTATGGAAACTCCGTATGTATGTCCCTAGCTATTATACTTGTCCGTGGTTTTAGATTTATATGCCTTAAAAATTTTTTTGCAAATTGCACCAAGCACCTGTCCAGCTATGAGAAAAGTGTAAAAAGAGAATGGATGAGAACATAATGCCAATGTTTCTTTCTGTGTTTGGATGTTGGCTAAATAGAGGAAATACCCTTGTGATTTTTCTGTGACATTCCTTTAGCCTACTTTAGTTAGATGTTTTAGGAATGCGCTTGGAGAATAGCACCAATAGTTTTTTTCCCTCGTTTGTTTTTTTTCCTAAAATTTTGAAAAGCTTTAGACGGTAATTCTAAATGCTGTTAACTGCATTATCTTCTCATGTCTTTCTTCATGCGGTATCCCACATTTGGGATCAACAGTTTCTTTGGCAGGTTTCTGCTAGCATTTGGTTGATAAGAAATTACAAAACTCTAAGCGGGGAATATAATAGCTAGTTTAGATTTTTTGGCCCATTGGCTAGCTGATTTATTTTCACAATTCTTTTTGCTTCTCATACTCTTAGACTTCTATAGCAGATTTTATAGTGCCACTTAGATTCTTATGTTTCTTAGAAAAAAACTAAGAAATAAATCAGTGTGAAAATTGAATTGATATTGAAAAACTGTTCATACAGAATTATACAAAAACTTTAGGTTTATATACAACTAATTAGAGGTTAAACTAGGAAACTAAATCTTTCTAAAAAACTAATCCTATAATTGAGGGATTGTTTATCTTAATTTTTTGTCTTTAATTTTAGGGATACAAATACTTAATTTTAGAGATACAAATATAAATATATAGATTATAAGATTATAACCAGTTGTAAATAAGTGTTTTCCTACACTCCCCTTCAAGCTAGTGAATAGGTGTTTTTCATTCTCAGCTAGAAAATAATTTCTTGAAATGTTGTACTGCTGAGATCTTTATCAACATAACTGCAAGTTGACCTTTGATACATAAGGTGTACAAATCAACCTACTGTTTAGTTTTTCATTTATGAAATGCCGATTTACTTCAATGTGTTTTGTTCTGTCATGTTGCACAGGATTGTGTGCAATGCTTATTGTAGACTTGTTATCACAGTAGAGTCTCATTGGTCCATCCCACTTGATCTTCAACTCTTCTAGGATAATCTTTAACCATAGTAGTTCACAAATTCTTTGAGCTATTGCTTTGAACTTTGCTTCAGCACTTGATCTTGCCACCACATTATGTTTTTTACTCCTTTAAGTCATAAGGTTACCATTTAAGAAAGTGCAGTAGCCTGAGATGGATCTTTTATCAGTTACTAAACCTACATAATCAACATATGTATATACTTCTAGAATTAGCCTTGAATTTCTTTGAATAAGATACCTCTCTCAAGATTGACCTTCAAATAATGCAATATACAATAGACAGCCTGTATGTGCGTTTTTTTAGGACTATGCATAAATTGAATTACCACACTCACAGCATATGCTATATCAGGTCTAGTATGTGAGAGATAATGAGTCTTTCAACTAATTTTTGATACATCTCTCTATTTACAGTAATATCTTCATTAGTTTCTCCAATTTTATGATTAGGATCTATAGGAGTATTTGTAGGTTTACATGCGAGCTTCCTTGTTTCCTTCAGAAGATCCATCACATTTTTCTGTTGTGAGATGAAGATACCATGCCGTGAGTGAGCTATTTCAATTCCTAGAAAGTACTTCAATCTTTCTAGCTCTTTTATCTCAAATTCTCTAGCCAAACATTGTTTTAGAGTTTCTTTCTTTTTTTTATCATCTTCAGTTACAATTTTATCATTAACATACACTAATAGAATTGTGACTCTCCTTAAATCAGAGTGCTTAATAAATAATGTGTGATCTCTTTAGCTCTATTTATATCTCATTGCTAGCATCACTTTGGCAAATCTCTCGAACCAAGCCCTAGGAGACTGTTTAAGGTCATATAAAGCCTTTTTCAGCCTGCATACTTTGTTTGTTTCTAGATGACCTTCAAATCTCGATGGAACCTTCATATATATTTTTCTTCCAAATCACAATGTAGAAAAGTATTTTTTACATCAAATTGTTGAAGCTGCCAATTGTAATTTGCAGCCAATGATAACAAAATATTAACTGTATTCATCTTGGCAATTGGAGCAAAGGTTTCCTGATAATCTACTTCATAGGTTTGAATGTAGCTCTTAGCCACTAACTTGGCTTCATACCTTTCAATAGTACCATCTGCCTTATATTTTATAGTGAAAACCCATTTACATCTCACTAGATTTTTTTTCTTTAGGTAACTCTACTAGTTTCTATGTTCGATTTTTCTCTAAGGCTTTTATTTTTATTTTCATGGCTTACCTTCATTTCTCGTTGGATAATGCCTCGGATAATGTAGTTGGAACAAAAATAATGTTTAGGGTCACAAGAAAATTTTTGTAGGATGAGGAGAATTTTTCAAATGACACAAAATTAGAGATTAGGTATAGTGAATGCTTAGTACATTCTCTGGTTCCTTTCCTAATGGCAATAGGCAGATCATAATCACTAGTTATAGTTTTAAGATATTCATGCTCATTTTGAGAAACAGAGTCAAAACCTGTAGTTACTTTATTTCTAGAGTTAGGATCAGGTTTTGGATTAGCATTGGTTCAGGATTTGAAATTTTTTTTCTTGAGTACACCTGTAATTCTTTCATAGAATCAATAATAATATTATCTTTTGTCACATCTTTTATATTTGGAATGGGTTTAGACTTAAATTCAGTATTTGACTTGGGCTCATCAGAAACAAGTTTCAACTCAAAAAAATTAATGGGTGTAAATATTAAAGAAGGGGACAAATCAAGCAAAAAGAAGTATTTATTCTTATTTTTCATAAATGAAGTCTCCCCTTGAAGATAAGGTTGAGTAAAAAATAGTTTACTTTCTTTAAAAGTGATATTTACAGACATATAAAAATTTTTGGTAGGAGGATGATAGCATTTATATCCTTTTTGAGTTGAGGAATACCTCATAAAAATACATTTAATTGCTCTTGGATCTTACTTTCCCCTATTATAATTGTAAACATGAACAAATGATGTACAATCAAATATCTTAGGTGTGAGATTTTTTGTAGTATTGAGGTTGGGATAAAATTGTGAGAGTAGTTCTATAGGAGTTTTAAATATCAAAACCCTTGAAGGTAACCTATTTATAATGTGTGTAGCAGTGAGAATAGCTTTTCTTCAGTAAGATTTATGTACATTTGCTTGAAAAAAAAAGGCTCGGGTTGTGGCTAGTAAATGGTTATTTTTTCTCTCTACCACTCCATTTTGTTGTGGAGTATTAACACAAGATGACTCATGGATAATCCCCTTTTTTTGAAAATAGGTGGATAGACTCACGTTGAAGTAGTCTCTTGCATTATCATACCTAAATCTCTTGATTCTCACTCTAAATTGATTTTGATAATATTTTGGAAGCTTAAAAATATACTATTCACATATGATTTGGATTTAAGTAAAAAAACTTAAAAGATCCTGGTACAATCATCTATGAATGAAACAAATCATCTTACATAAAAAATATTAAAAATTGTAGAGAGACCCCCAATGTCACTATGAATCAAGTAAAAGGGAGTAGAATTTCTTTTGTTACTAATTGAAAAAGACACGTCTGTGCTTTACAAATTCGTAAACATCATAATGAAAATCTTCGATATTTAATTTTTTGAACAAAGAAGGAAACATGTTACTCAAAGTTTCAAAAGAAAGATGTCAAAAATGAAAACGATAAAGTCAGATTTTGTCTTTATTGAAAGATTTTTCAGAAAAAATGACAAAGGTAAATTATTCTTGATATTACTTGTGTTATTTGATGTTTCAAAATAGTATAGTCCATTCTTCTTCTTAGCAAGTCTAATTATCTTCTCCGAAATTTGATCCTGAAATTCACAATAAAAGGGACAAAAAATCATTTTGCAATTCATATTTCTGGTAAATTTTTTTATAGATATCAGATTAATAGATAATCTAGGAATATGAAAAATATTTTTTAGAACAAACGAGGGATTAACTTGAACATCTCTTAATCTTGCTACTGTAGTAAGTGAACTATCTGCAATGACAATTTTCTTATTACCAGGACATAGGGTATATGTACTAAACTTCTGTAAGGAATGTGTCATATGGTCTGTGGTCCTGAGTCAATGACTCAAGAACTCGTAATATGTTTAATCGAGACATTTAATTTATGAGAACTAGAAGCTTTATCTAAACTAGAGATCTTACCCAAAGAACATACCACAGTAGGCTTTTCAAGGATTTTCAATAAGTTTATCAGCTTTTCAATCTTTTTCCTGTCGAACTCTTTTTGTTTTTGAGACATTTGTAGTACTCCAGTGATTTTTTCAGTTGAAATTTTCTCAAATTGGGTGGTAGTGATATCTTTCTTTGAAAGGGTTTGACAATGAAGGCCTAAACAAGATTCGACAATGAAGGCCTCAAATAGAAGTCAGCAATGAAGGCTGAAAATTTTGCTTCCCAAGAAAAGCTTAAAGCTCTGATATCATGTGAAAAAAATTAAAAAATAAATTACTATAAAAATTGAATGTATATTGAAAAACTGTTCATATAAAATTATACAAGAACTTTAAGTTTATATACAACAACTAGAGGTTAAACTAAAAAATTAAATCTTTCTAAAAAACTAATCTTATAATTAAAATATTATTTATCTTAATTTTTTTATCTTTAATTTTAAAGATACAAATATTTAATTTTAAAAATATAAATATAAATATATAAATTATAAAATTATAACTAACTATAAATAAATATTTTCTTATGGTTCCCATCAAAACATTCAGGTTCTTGTGTTTATCATGTGTATTGGCAGGATTTTTTATGTAGAACCTTCTTTGGTAATAATTGGTTTTAACCATTTAAAACTGCTAACCTGTTAGGCAAGTTGAAGGGGAGACACGTGTGGGGGTGTTTGCCGCTCGGTCAATCAAAATTGATGAGCCACTGACATATGACTGCAGGTATGCATAGGTCTCAATACTGCTTGCACAGCCTAAATTGCAGCCATTTTTTTTGTTTCTAGTGTATCGCAATTAATAGCTATCTGATGCGTGATATAGACTTGAAAGTGGATATTTTGCATTACAGCCTTGAAATTGCCTTATTATTCTAATGTTTTATTTTTCTTTTTATGGTCAGTAAATGTTAGACT